CCACATTTGCTTATGCACCCATTTGTCTTCAGCGATCATATCATGGAGGTGAGCACACAACGATATGATTTTTTGTTCTTTGATGCCTGGTAAAGTAGAGGGGTCAAGGAAAACCCTCACTGGAGTAGATCAATACAATAGCCACAATGAAAGATGACCGGTGGCACGACCAGTTCAGAGCTTGACTGCTAACTGGAAGGTGGGAGATTTGGCTCACCTCGGGGTTCTCAGGAGAGGGCAACCCTAGAGAAGGACATCATGCTTGGTGGAGGGGCAGTGAAGGAGAGGCAGGCCCTCAACCAGATGGACGGACCCAGTGGCTGCCACCATGAGCTCAGACAGAAGAACAACTGTGGGGATGACCCAGGACCAGGCCGTGTGTTATTCTGTTGTACTCAGAGACACTGTGAACGGAAACCAATTCAACAGCACCTCACCGCAACATCAGAGGCTCTGCTGAAGAAAGACCTGGTGATCTTTGAAGACAGCCTGCTTCCATAAAGATGCCAGCCCAGAAGACCCTAAGGGGCAGTTCCGTTCTGTCATGTGGGGCTACCACAAGGTGAAAACGGACTTGATAGCGCCTAACAACAACAAGAGGGAGGGAACCGTGGCTACGAAGACAACAGGCACAGGCACGATCCTGCCCTCCCAACGGTCCCAAAGCTGGTGCGGGAGCGGGCCATGTTTGTTCTGTTACATAAAAGCTCGCCACGAGTGAGAGCCAACTCGATGACAGCTAACCCATTTCTTTCTTTCCTTACCATACAAATAATAGATATTTGTTGTAGGTCACGTGGAGGGGGAAACGCACAGATAACTCTTAATTTTCTATTGCAATCGTAAAGCACTCGTTGTTCGAAAAGACAGAAGGTGAGCGTCCGGCACCCCATCTTGTCTTTCAGAGCCAACTGCTGTTCAACTCAGTCCAAAACCTTCCAGCGGGTTCCCAAACACCTGACACATGAACACAAGCATGTTGATGCCGATCCTTTTTTTTCTTTTTTAGTTTTCCCTGCTTTTTGGTGACAAAAACATAGCTCTGAGATATTTTTTGTGCCCTGTTTTTTTCCCCTTAGTGATTGATCATGAACATTAGGAGATCTTATTTCTTCATGGAAACTAAACAATACC